CGGTCCCAAGAGGCAAAACCCATTGCCAATGGCAGGAGATTGAACCAAGGCCTGCTAAAGAGCACCAGCTAAAGAACTGCAGGGCCACGCTCTTCCATGTTGGCTCAGCACAAGCTCGGCCCTCCCTCTTGGCACCGCAGGCCTTGGTCCTGAGGCTGGACTTGGGAGCACCTCACATCCCTCTCTACCCCGGTGGGAGGAATCTATGTCTGCCTTTTGGCCACATCTTCGGCTCAAGGCCCCCCATGTCAAATGCCAGGGTCAGGACCCCGCAGGGTTCTGGACCAGACTGACAGGGAGGACCCTCAGCTGACATTCAGGCTGAGTCCCATTTCCCCAGTGCTTGGCCCCTGGAGCCAGTAAACAGTCTTAGCAGACACTGCAAACTGGGGGCCCTCAGGCTTGTCTGGTTCAACCTAGAGATTTTTTTTTTAAACTACCAACATTCTAAGAGCACCTGGGTGGCTCAGCCGGTTAAGTGTCCGACTCTTGATTTCGCTCAGGTCATGATCTCACACATGGGGCTCTGTGTTGACAGATCAGAGCCTACTTGGTATTCTCTCTCTCTGCTCCCCCCACCCCCTCGCTTGCTGGCTCATTTGCTCGCTCACTCTCAAAATAATAAACATTTAGAAAAAATAAAGGTTATTTTCAATCAATAAAAATCACCAACATTCTAAAATTAGATTTCATATGAAAACCTGAAGATTTCATATAAAACTTTCGATCCTAACATATCAAGAGTTGGCACCAGGGGGCCTGCACTCCCGCTAACAGTAGGAACTAGGAGAGGTGGCTCCCTATGGACAGGTGGATGCGGGGTCTCCGGAACCCCTCCTGATCTACTTCACTCACTCATCTTGCCCGGGCCCTGTAGGGTGCTGGTGGCCCCCGTCCCAGACAATGACCCTCTGGCGATCCCAATCCAATCTTCTCTGGATGCAGTCAAGCCTTCCCTGCCCTATCTGCTAATGGGCCCAGGAAAGGAGCCTCCTTCCATCAACAGCTGGGGCTAGAGCCCCAATCAGGGACACTGAGGCCTCGCCATCTCGGGAGATCTCTTTCTTCAAGGCTCCTGGGACACAGAGCAAGGGCTGGATCCCAGCCAGGAAGTCCGGCCACCCCTCCTCATCCCAGGATCTTCCCTCCAAGCCCAGCGCCCGCCACGAACACTGCCTGGCTCCTGCCAGTGATGTCAAGATCTAACAAACCCGGTCTGTCTTGAGGATGACTCACGTTTCCTCGGTTTAAAAAGTCATTGAATTCCAAACAATGCCGCCTAGTCCCAGCCTCGCTTGTCTTACAATCATGTGCCTCTCTTGCCTCGCTGCAGAGCTGAAAGCCTCAGACCCCAGCTGCAGGGGTTTTCCGGGTCAGAGAAAAAAGCCCAGCAGCTCTCTGTGTGTCTGGCCGGGGTCCTTCCTATGGACGCTCTCAGCTCTGTGTCCCGAGGAGACTGGCCCGGACGAACCTGGGACACCACCCTCTCCCAGGCTGTGAGGGCCTCGTCCCGGGTAATTCCGGACAGCTCAGCCCAGCCTCCAGACACAGGGCTGCCAGAGTCCGACAGACCCTTGGCAACACGGGAATCCCCACTGCCCCCCAAAAAGGAAAAATACTTTCAAGATCCCAAATGGCCTCTGGGCTCTCCATTCAAGAGCTCCTCACTTCTACTCCCTCCCACGGAGAAAGCCAAACCTGTGTCCTCGCTGGTTTGTGGCCATCAATCTTCCCTCCCCCACTCGGCCCTGCAGGCTGGCTGAGGGCCAGCCCCCACGAGCCACTCCTCACGGAGGGAGAGGGGTCAGCCTGGAAGCACCCCCCCCCCCCCCCCCCCCCCCCCCCCCCCCCCCCCCCCCCCCCCCCGGCTCCCACCCAGACTCACCACCAGCGGCCAGGGCACCATGTACAACTTCATGTGCAGCTGAAACAGGTAGAGGATGAAGAAGACAATTGTCACCAGCCAGAGGAAGACAGCAACGAACATGACCCAGCCGTAGGCTGGGTACAGGTGGTACGGGGTATCGGCAATCAGGGCCCACACCAGCAGCCCCAGCACCTGGAGGGACGAGACAGGGCCAGAGTCCCCCAGAACCCCCACCGCTCTGGCTGGAGGCCACAGGGCTCCCTCTGCAGGACACATTTCTCATTTAGTCGAGAAAAATATTTATCTGGCTCCTACTGTATACCACCATGTACCAAATCCTCAGGTGAAATGTTACATACCGTGGGACACCGTCCCTGCTCCTCCAGTCTGGGTTCTAGAACGTTCTTTTGTGCTCGCATGGCCCCCCCTAGGCACCTACCACCCAGGACTGGGATACTGTTTCCTTCCCAGCCTTTGAGTTCCCTGGGGGCAGGCCAATGACTGTCTCACCCATAGCTGCACCCTGGCAGCCAGTACCTGGGCTCAGTAAAAGCTGCTGAAAGGTGAAGTCGCCATCCTTGAGGGATGGACACAGTCCAACTTCCAGAGGTGGGAAAACCCACAGCCTGTGCTGTCCTCCCACCCAGGGCCTCAGGGTGACTTCCACGTGACACCCTACCAAGCCCTTCCCACCTTCTCTGACTCTCCTAACTGCCTCTCTATACAGGTGCTACCCTCCCCAGTTTCTCAGGGAGAAACTGAGTCTCACACCATTCCCACATGGCAGGGTGGGCTCCAATATCCCTGCAGTGTGTGAAGCAGCTAACGGCATGGACCTTGCAGCCCACTACCTGGTTTTAAACCCTGCTCCCTTCCCAGCTGTGTGACCTTGGGCAAGTTCACGACCTCTCTGTGCTTTGGTCACCCGATCTGTAAAATGAGTATAGTGACCATACCTACCTCACAGGGCCGTATCAAGGACCTGTAAGTTCACGTATATAAATGGGTACAACAGACGTTTGCTTTTATTATTCCCCGCTGGATACACTGCCCTCTGGGCCACGGGGAATTCTGCGCAGACAGGCTGATACCGGCTTGGGGAACTTGGCAGTGTGGGACTGAGCAACGGGCTTGCTCCGAGGCACGGCCCAGGAGAGCCCACAAGCAACCTCACATGTAGCCATCCCCGCCTCCTCCATACCTCTCCTACCCTCTTCCTTGCTGTCCAAGACCCCTAGGCTGAGGCGTCCTCCCTTGTCCCCAAGGGCATTCTTTGGAATCTCTGGAGCTAGGCATGGCTCAGGTCTGGCTGCTGAGGCAGGGAGGGTCTACCATCGGGCTTTGGAGAAAGGCTCCTTTGCTGATGAAGATGCACAGAGAGAGCTGCCCTCTTCTTCCTCGAGGGGCATCCAGGCACGTGGCAGCAGGCCTCGCAGTGACCTTGCCACAGCCTGAGAATGAGCAGACCGTCGGCTGGATCCCAGAGAAGCGCCTCAGAAGCAAGATCCACCTCTAGCCGCTGGTCTCAGAGACAAAAAGTGCCCCCCTCCCGCCCCCCAGGCCAAAAGCTCCTCTGCCGGCCAGTGCTGGGCACCTGCTAGGCACCCCCACCGAAGCACCCCTGCCAAGGACCAAAAGGGAGGTTTCAGTACCCATCCCCCTACACTTGGGGGGCAGGGCAGGAACGGACTTAGGTGAGTGGGCCCGGAGTCGGGCAACCCCTAGAGCGACCTGCGACGTTCCCTTCTCGTCCTCCTGCCGCTCAGGCACAAGAGGCTGGGGAAGGGTGTGGTTGATTGGCGTCCCTCCCACAGCACCGCTGGAAAGTGGGAGGTGGAGCCCCAGGCCTGGGAGCCAACAGCTGGGGGTCAATCCTGCCCGTGCTGTGGGACACCGGGCGAGCACCTTTCCCCCTCTGTGAGGCTCCCGGGGCAACTCCGGTCCGTCCACCAGAATGCAGGCCCCGTGAGGAATCCAGGTCTGGTCACTGCTGCATCTCCGGTGCTCAACAGTGCCTGGCATATACCTGCTCAATACCTATGTGCTCGGAGCTAACAGGCCTCAGTTTCCTTATCCATGAAGTAGGAGTCAGACACCTGCCCTACACAGGTGCTGTGTACTAAAAGAGGAAGCAGGTGTGAGTCAGTGGATGTGCTGCGGGCCTTGTCCCCCCCTCCACCCGGGGAGAGATCTCAGCCCAGGGCGGGAGGCGGGAAAGGCATCCACTCCTCTCCAGAGCCCTGCGCCTGTTCCCCATCACCCAGTGGGGTGGGTCCGCAGGGACACCACCCATACTGCACCACGCCAGCCTCAGCTGCCCCACCGGAGATGGGCAGGCCCACTTTGCAGGTGAGGAAGGTGGGACAGGTGGCAGGGCTTTGCCCACAGGCACACAAACTGGGCACAGAGCCGTTCCCAGTGAGGCCCGTGAGACAGGTTGTCTCAGCCCATCGCCCCCACCTTCTACCACCCATCCTCAGCATACCCTGCTCAAAACAGACACGTCAGGGGGGCAGAGACACCCCCCCCCCCCAGAGCTGGGTGAGCTCCCTGCTCCGAAGGAGAACCAACCCTCCTAAAGCAGCAGGACCCTCCCAGGTGAGAACTCGGCACATCAGGGACAAAGGATGATCTTAAAGTAGGGTCCTTACAGGCCTGCATGCCATTGTGCTGCAGGTTCCAACTACCTAAAAGGAAGTTGAAAACGCAGTGCAATGAAAATCAAGAAAAGAGCAATTCGGGGGCGCTCGGGTGGCTCAGTCGGTTATGCGTCCAACCTCGGCTCAGGTCACGATCTCACGGTCTGTGAGTTCAAGCGATGCACTGGGCTCTCTGTCACCGCAGAGCCTGCTTTGGATCCTGTCTCCCTCTCTCTCTCCCTCTCAAAAGTAAGGAAATACTAAAAAGGGAGGGAGGGAGGGAGGGAGGGAGGGAGGGAGGGAGGGAGGGAGGAAGGAAGGAAGGAAGGAAGGAAGGAAGGAAGGAAGGAAGGAAGACGGACCAATTCGGTCTACCCTAATGTACACCTATGAATTATCAGTATTATTACTCCTAGATTTGGTCGCAATAACCACTTAATGCTCTCCAGCTCGGTGCCGCACAGGCCTCTGGAAAGCACCTCCCCTTTTATTTCACCGTTTCCCTGTAACCCCCGTCACCAGTTGGTACTATTTATTTTCCCCACTTTCCAAACAGAAGCTCAGAGGGAAATGAGCCTGTGGTCACCCATGATCACCCGTGGGTAAAGGGCAGGGCAGAAGTTGCACCCAGATCTGTCCTTCTCTGGAACCCAGGCTGCTGATGGTTACTTAGTGTTGTGTGAAAAATGAGGACACTTGAGCTGTCTCCTGGCTCTGCCCTGCCCTCCAGCCCTGGTTTCCAGACCAGCAAGCGCAGCCTCGGAGAGATGAGCTGCTAGATAAGCAGCAGGAATTTCTGGTGTCCCTCCTGGCTGCGCCCCGCTGGCCCCGTGCCCTGGGAGCCGCCTCGGTTTCTGCCTCAGACAAGGAAAAGTCCACTTCTCCATCTGAACCAGACAGACCGGTTTTTCCCATCCGCTCTCCCCCAAGAATCCCAACGGGGCACCCCAGGCCAGGGCCTCAGGGAGACCCCACTCAGGACGGGGCAGCCCCACATCTGCCGACCCCTCTGCCAGCCTGAGCAGCCCTCCTGCTGTGGACCCACACTTTAGCGGGAAGAAGGAGTCAGAGGGCTTGTCCCATGGTCCACTCTAGGAGAGTAAACACCACTTTTCAGAAGGAGGGGGACAGCGGTAGGTAGCTGAGGGCAGAGAGCAGGAAGCCGCCTGTCTCCAGGGCCTTACCCGGGCCCCTCTGTCCGCGACAGTCACCTTGCAGCTCTGGTGCCCTGAGCACAGGCCTCGGCACGTGCGTCTCGCTGAGATCATTCATTCAACCAATATCGTAGTGGCCTTTACCTCCGGGTCCCTGTCTCTTGCCTACACATTCATCATCTGCCCCCGTGTTTCTCTGTGAGAAACAGACACACAAACACAGAACCAAACCTTATCCCCTCGCTCCTTTAATGCATCCCTTGCAACATCTCCTTCGGGCAAGCACTATAGATAAAGAGAACTGTCTGGAAATCTTGAAGGTGCAGGCCTTTTTTTTTATCCCCCTGAGAAAAAATCTAAAGACTTCAGATCCGAGATTTTTCTCTTTAAATGAGGACTGTCAAAAAGGACACATTCACGCATTCCCCAGGACCTTTGCACCTACCAAAGAATTTCTAAACAATTGAAGAACAGCGATATTTTTGTTAAAATCACCTGCAAAGAGGAGAGATTCATCACAAATGCCAGACAGAAAGGCATTCCTTGATTAGGATGGGCCCTGATCCAGTGACTGGTGTCCTTATAAAACGAAGGAAAATGGACAGAGATACACAGAAGTAGAAAGCCATGTGAAGATGGAGACAGAGACCAGAGTGATATGTCCCCAAGCCAAGGAACACGACTGCTGGCAACCACCAGAAACTAGGAGACAGGCAGGGAACAGGTTCTCCTTCAGAGCCTCCAGAAGGAACCCACTATGCCCAACACATTGATTTTGGACATCTAGCCTCCAGAACTGCGAGACAATAAATTTGTTTGAAGCCACCCAGTTTATTGGTATTTTCTTATGGCAGCCCTAGGAAACCAGTATGTCTTTCTGAGCAACTTTTGACTGCAGATGAATGTCATGATCTGATCTGTGTGACACTGGCATCAGTTTTGACGGAAGGCTGGCCTATTAATTCACTGGGTTCGAGCTCTGGCCCTGCCAACTTCCTAGCTGCGTGACCTAGGGCAAGTTGCTGAACCTCTCTGTGCCGCAGTGTCCTCACCTTCAAAAGGTGCCTACCTCATAGGGTAGTTCTGAGATTAAATAAATATCTGTAAGGTACTCAGATCAGTACCCAACATGGGTCTACCACTCAATACATGTTCTACTGTAATTATCAGTCTGAGAGGTTGGAATATGGGTTTTCCAATCCATTCTCTGCCTGGGTTCCTGAGGTAGTAAAAATGTGTGCAGTTCCTTGGGGGGGGGTGGGGGGGGG